ATTGCGCTCACCTTCAAAATCTCCCACTGTGGATGATAACTCTGATGGAGCTTCAACACCAACCCAATCTGGTTTTTTTGGAACAATTAAAAAAGGCATAGTTGATTCATCTAAAAATGCTGTGAAAGCTGTGCAGGTTAAGGCTCGGCATGTTGTTTCACAAAACAAACGAAGATACCAGGTGGGGCTTACTCTTTTTCCTGAGTACAGAGATTTGCCTCCAACCTGTTTTGAATTTTTGTTTTTTTTACTATGACAATCGCTATACATGTATTCTTACATTTGCACCATTCCCTCAGGAGGGAGGATTTGACTTAGATATGACATACATCACTGAGAACATAATTGCTATGGGATTCCCTGCTGGTGATATGAGCTCTGGGTTTTTTGGATATGTTGAGGTAGCTAAACTAATCAATTTTTTACTTTTGAATTTGTCTATTCTCTTTTAGTTAGACTAAGAAATCTTTAATTGTGATACAGGGGTTCTACCGAAATCACATGGAAGAAGTGATTCGGTTTTTTGAAACACATCACAAGGTAATGACAGGTCGATTGAATCATAATCTGTATCTTCTTCTTCCTCTTTTTCACCCTGGTTTTCTCCACCATGCAGCTGTATGTATTTTATTTTATAGTTCTTTACATCATAGGTTGAGAAAAACAAGAACTTGGTCAAGTTTGTTTTAGGTTGGTCAGTATCTATGCATACATCTTAGCAGATGATAGGTTGTATATTTCGGCAAAGGCTCAAAGCAACTCATTTAGTTACTGGTTCATGGAGTGTACTGTTTTGGTGGATGGAGATTATTGTTGCCTCTTCTTTTAATATGTTTTCAGCTCTTTGAAAATGATAAATGGCTTAGCTTGTAGTCTGCTCTGTGCTATGCGTGCTTTGGCACTTGTCTGTATTTACTTTGTTAAATAGCAACTTCACCAGTCTAATATCAAGTTCCTGAGCTTTACCTTTTTCCGATTACACCCACCTTTCATTCAATATGAATCTTGTCTTTTGGGGTTTCTGGAGCTGTTAAAATCATTGTCACTGACTATTTGGTTGATCTACATTAAAAAAAAAGTTCAGGTTTGTTGCTAGTTCATATGTATTTTTGTATGTTCCATCATTGCCATTCATTGTACTGTTTGATCCGAAAATCTATTTACTTCAATGCAGGACAAGTACAAAGTATTTAATCTTTGCTCTGAGAGGCTGTATGATGCTTCATTGTTTGAAGGAAAGGTATGTTGTGGTTTGTTGGGGTAACTCACTATATGTTTACTTCCACTTGGGCTTTTCTCTATTGTTGTTAGCTGTGGGTGTGTGCCATATGCCTATCATATAGCTTCTCCGAGGTCTCTTAAGCCATTAACCATACCATGCTATGTTGGCTTTTGAAAAAAAAAATTCACTACCATTTGGCTGGACTTGTGGAGCAAATCAGAAAAATCAGCCACTAATGTCTTCTTAAACTATTTGGCAATTGAATCCATTAGGAGTTGATGGGCAAGAGTCACTTTTTTTCTTTTGAAGTTGAGCAAGAGTGTTTCATTCAATGAATGAAAATCAGTTGTTGGCAGAAGATAATTCTTTTGATAAATCTTTTCGACCATTTGTTTTCCCACTCGTGAATGCATAACAGTAAATGCAGCCTGTTAAAACTTATTGTAAGGTGATCTATGTGAAACAAAATTGTACATATTATAATTGATATCCAACTTTTTCTTCAGGTGGCTAGTTTCCCATTTGACGACCATAATTGCCCCCCAATTCGATTGATAATATCCTTTTGTCAAAGTGCATACACTTGGCTGAAGGAGGATATTGAGAATGTTGTGGTCGTGCACTGTAAAGCTGGGATGGCAAGGACAGGGTTGATGATCTCCAGCCTGCTTCTATACTTGAAGGTTCGACCCAATGAACATGTTCTTGAATAAATGCGAGTGTATTCAGTATAGCTACACATTTCTTGGTCACAATGGTTGGTTCTTTCTTTAACTTGTTATCTCTTTGCAGTTCTTCCCCACTGCTGAAGAGTCGATGGACTACTACAACCAGAAAAGATGTGTGGATGGAAAGGGGCTTGTTTTGCCAAGTCAAATTGTGAGCAGTTGATTTGTAGTGATTTTCTGGGTTTGGTTTTTGGAAGCTGCTTATATCATATCTGATTACCATATATTTTGCTTTTATGTTCTCTAGAGATACGTCAAGTACTTTGAACGCATCTTAACATACTTCAATGGTGAAGACCAGCCTGGGCGCAGGTATTCTTCTGACAATGCAATGTTTATATTTATCTTTGGTTTTATACTAGTGCTGACATTATGTTTATACAGATGCATTCTTAGAGGATTCCGGCTTATTCGTTGTCCTTATTGGATCAGGCCTTCCATTACAGTGTCTGATCATAATGGTATAACATATTTTTGTTTGATTGATGATTGGTGCTTTCTGTAGTCATTGCATTGTCCTAAAACTTCTTGTGCCATTCGCCTGCATAATCATCATGAACTCTAATACTCTCTCTCTCTGCAGGTGAACTCTTCTCCACAAAGAAGCATCCACGTACCAAGGATCTCTCTGTAAGTTTGGTTTTATTTAATTAGTATGACCACCACCTATGTTTTTAGAAAATGCCATTTGAATCTCTGGAGCTTCCTTATACTAATTTGAAGTTTTGTGCATGTAATTACAGCCGGAAGATTTTTGGTTTAGCACACCAAAGAAAGGAGTTATGGTATTTGCTTTGCCTGGGGAACCTGGTCTGACCGAGTTGGCTGGAGACTTTAAAATTCATTTTCACGATCGCGGAGGAGATTTTTACTGGTCTGTAGTTAGTCCCCTCTCTGTTAAAATTAGTTTGTTGACTCGAATTATTAACTAATTTTGTTGTAATTCTGTCCTTTTGATTTATTATCAGTTGGTTAAACACAACAATGATAGAAAACAGAATAATTCTGAATACAAGTGATCTTGATGGGTTTGACAAGGTAAAACATGAAAAATGTTATGGTGAGATGATTTATTTATGATGTTCTGCCAAAATGACTTGAGATCATTTATTTATGTCCGGTTGAAATAGTGTCTTCTCTGATCGTATCGCCCGTTATATGTGCAGAGGAAATTATCTTCCCCTGGTTTCCAGGTCGAGGTTGTGTTAGTAGATTACAATGACCCAGTCCCCTCGAAGCCTCCAACCGAAACCGCTACAAACAAGCCAGATGAAAGCTCAGGCACCAGTGGTTCACCCACTGATGGAGGTGCAGCAGCCCCATCAAGCAGCGATAAAGACCCAGGAAATAACGAGAAAGATGATGTGTTCTCGGACGGTGAGGCAGAAGACTCTGGACCTTCAACGAACAGGCGGCAAAAACCAGCTGCTCCCTCAGCCACCACCAAATCAGAAACGAGTTCCAATGCAGCAGATCAAGTTGCAGGTTTGGTGCATTCCGCTGAACAAGTTTCTTTAGGAAATGCAAACACCGAAACACACACCAGTAGTAACCCGAGAAAAGACACTGCCACTGCGGGTACCGGGGTGTCTGGCACGGGAAGTGAATTCAAAGCAATGGCAGCAGATGCATCTGTTTTCAGTTTTGGAGATGAAGACGACTATGAAAGTGAGTAATTCTCCAACCCAATTCATTATATTTGTAACATTACGCTCTGGTTCTAGCTTACAATTGTTAACTGTTGTATATCACAAAATGCAACCATGGCTGGCTGTTACAATAACCATTGCTTTAAAATTTTAAATCACGTCTGTTTTTAGAATAAAGATCTTTAGTTCTTTTAAAATAGATAAAAAGTAAACTCCGCATTTAGTACCTAAACTATCAATTTTGATATGTTTTAGTATATAAACTTTTAATTTTTTCAAAATCATACTTAATGTATAGTTTTTTGTTTCATTTTAATACTCGACATAAAAAACTTAATGCATTTAGTTCTTAAACTATAAGTTTTAATTCATTTTAGTATTTAAACTTTTAAAAAGAATTTCAAAACTTAACGTTAAATTTTGAATGGGTACTAAAATGAAATAAAAATTAAATTTTAGATATAGTTTTAAAAAAAAGTTAAGGTATTAAAATATATCAAAATTGATATTTAGGTACTAAATATGTAATTTACCCTAAATTAATTCTCGTTTGGCGGAGTTTTTAAAATAAATAATCGTAAGTTATTTTCAAGCTAAATTTTGTTTTGGGGAAATTTTCTCGCTGCACAATCCCCATCATATTTTTTCATGATATAAATAAATTTAAAAAATATAAAATTATAAATAATATTTTACTCAAAATATAGGGAAAAGATAATTGAATAAGAAAAATTTAATATAAAAATAAATGTTCAAATTATATCTAAAATTAATTTTTGGTGTCTAAAAAATTAAAAATTGATGTCTAATAGTTTTTCTGTTATACTTTTAGATGTCTAAAATTTAAGGTGAACAAAACTCGACTTGACTTGAAAAACTACACTCAAATTGACTTCGAATTGTGATTTTATAAATTCGACTCGAAATTTTTTTAAATTCAAATCGAGTTGTAAAATACAACTCGAATAACTCAAAAATTTTAATATTTAGTATATTAATTTTTAAATTTAAGTCGAAGTTTGATTAGAGTCCTTCAACTTTGTATAATATATATAAATCACATATGAAAAAAGTATGAAAAATATATATGTATTATATATGGTTATAAAATATCATCTAAATTGGAATCAAATAATGTTATAATATTATAAATATTTACAATTAAAATTTAAATAGAAACTCGAAAATTTGATACGACTCAAATTTTATAAAATTAACTCGAAAAAGTTTAAAGTCAATTTCGAGTTATAAAATATGATTCGTTAACTCGAATAAATCAAAATTTTTAACTTGATTCGATCGATCGTTGACCCCTACTAAAACTTATCAAATCCAATGGGTTCAAAACCTATTTATGAGGCCTTCTCATCAATGCAACTCATATTAAATGCTGAATGAAAATTGGTGAAATTTCGATGAACTATCTTATTGCAACGTGATCATGTTCAAAATGAACCAGCAGTGTAATTAAACAGAAAACTTATATGATCGACAGCTAAAAGTACAAGAAACGCCAAGAGAATCAACTTTTAGAGGCGGATTGAAAGATGAAAATTGCAGTCAAAACACCAACCAATGCAGTCACTGCCAAGGCCACCGTGGGTAAAGGTGTCGTGAGGCCGAAATTCTGCAGAGAACCAACATGTAAACATCAAGGCTTTATAGACTTTCTAGTGCCTAAGTTATAACTCAAAAAATTCTTTATGCACTAAATTGTATTTTAAAGTATAATTTAGGCACTAAAAACATGTAGTAATCCAAACATGAATTGGAAACAAAAATGGCACAAAAGGTACCTCCAAAAGTCCCTTGCCAGTTGATATTTCAACGGTAATGGCCACTGCAAAACCAACCATGGCGAGCCTGCCTAGCCATACATCCAAGCTGCTGCCTTTCTGGGTGCTTTGCTCACATTTGATGGAGAAAGGTGTTGCTTTGCACGCGGGCTTTCTTTGGTGAAATGGCCCCCTTATCACTGCTAGCAAAAAGCAACCATTTTATCCACCAAACAGTGCATAAAATGGTGGAGAAGGGACTAAAAATGACCAAATCCATGAAGATTAGGACTAGAAAAACCCAGAATTGCTTACATAGAGGGGAACCAGTGGCAAAAATGGAGCCCGTCGGTGAAATTCTGGAAATGGATAAGCGAGAAATTTTGTGGGTTCTTGGCGAACTGATAGGCCACGCATCTGCAACACAAGAAATTGGAACAAAGGGTTATTGATATGCAAATATCAAAGAGATGACGATGGAGGATGGTACCATGAATGCAAAGAGAACGAGAAGCTGAGATTTGAGCTAAGGCCATGTTTTGTAAGAAAGGTTCGAGGCTTTGAGTTGGAGGTGAGGATGGTGAACACAAACTCCGCCTCTAATCTAATCTTTGTGGAACACTGATGGGCAATTGAAAGAGGACCAGACATATTTGAGATGTGGAAGGTGACCACGTGTCATGTTTCGATATTATTCTCGTTTTTAAAAAGGTTTAAATATAAAATCAGAGTACAAATTATAACTAATTTTACGAATATATGTCTAAATTATTTTTTGAATAATTTTGATATCTAACGTTGTAAATGTTATTATTTTAAGTGCTCGGACGGTCAATGATATTAATTTTCTCCGTTAACTGACACGTGTCACAATATGATAATTTTGAAATTTATTATTTTTTAAAAAATATAAAATATTATTATATTCATTAAAAAAATCCATTTCTCTTAAATTACAAAAAAAAAACATTCCTAAAATCCCTAAATCATAATCTTAACTCACCGCGACCGCCATTTCCGACCATGATCGCCACTGTCGTCGTAGTCCTAGTCATATGTCGTCATAGTTGATGTCGATTGGTTATCGAAATCGCGTGGGATCACGATTTTCATCCTAGGGTTCACGGGGTATAAAACGTTTTTTCGTCGTAGATCGGTCGACTATCAGTCACGATTTCATAGGGTTTTGGGCGTCAGGGGAGGCGAAGTCGGGTGGAGCTTCGTCGACAGTAAAAGGCGGTTCACGACATAGGTGTAGGGGTTGAAATAAATGTTTTCAAACTTTTGGGGTTATTTCAAAATTTATGTGTTTTTAAAAATAATTTTAATTTTTTTACTTTCAAATAATTTTTTTAAATTACCAGATTGTTACACGTGTTACTTAACGGAGGAAACTAACACCGTTGACCATTCGGGCATCTAAATTTGTAACCTTTATAACATTAGACATCAAGATCATTCAAAAAAAAATAGTTTAAATACCTATTCGTTAAAAACGCTATAGCTTGAGCATTTATTTTACAATTAAGCCACCCATTTTATGTTTTCTTAATCTATGGATTTGGGTGTGAGTCTTTTGGTTTGATCAATTTCATGAACATAACTACTCCAGTTTCAAGGGTACCCCATTGGCATGTTCTTGTAGCGGATACAGTTAAAGATTTTATCTCGGCCATATATGCTTCAGTTTGAATTAAGACAATTTATCTGCTTATGATACTGTGAAGTCTTAGATGAAATTTTGTGTTAGCTCTCTCTTTTTGAATATACATGGACTCGGTCCTTCGAAACAAGAACCTCGAAGGACCGAGTTCATGTACCTTTGGTGCTCGTTCTGTGGCACCGGAACAATGCAGCCGGGGAATAAAGATGGTGAGCATTACCTGCATGGCAAAGTCGGGTTTCCTTTTATCATTCATGGACTTAATCAACCTAATAATAAATTCTAAGAACATTTATTTAATTATCATATCAACGTTGGATGTAATAATAAGATCCCTTCACGTTGGCAGGAATTAAATATATGTTCCATTGAAGTAGAATATATCCACTTGAGCTTTGTTAAATATATGTTGTAAAAATCATCCAACCTCTATTGTCTCTTCTCTCTTCTCTCTTCAATGGGGTGGCTCTGTTTCTTCACCATCATTGCAATCTCATGTGTTTCCATAGCGAAAACGGAGCACCGTCCCTCGGCACCGGACCTGGATTCGCTGACACGGCACCTCTTGGTCTCGGCCAAGGAGCCCGAGTTCTTGGATTGGTTAAAGAGGGTCAGGAGGAGAATCCATGAGTACCCGGAGTTGGCTTTTCAAGAACACGATACTGGTCGACTCATAATGTCCGAGTTGGACTTGCTCGGGATCGATTACTCGTGGCCCGTTGCCAAGACGGGAATCGTGGCCTCTGTCGGGTCAGGGGTCGAGCCATGGTTTGGTCTTCGAGCTGACATGGACGCCCTTCCTATCCAGGTTTCCTTTTGCCTCTTCTTTATTAATAGGTAGATTTGGTATTGAACCTATGTTATTTAAAGCTCCAATGAATGTCCGATATGGTATGTGCCTATACAATATGTCCGTTTAATGGTGTTATGTTGGTAAGTCAATTCCCGTTGAACATTGTCGACGGTTAACTGAGAACGTCTCGAGGTTTGAGCCCCGTGCGCATTTTAACGTCCTAATTAATTTCCCTACGTCGATATTTTGAAGGAAATGGTGGAGTGGGAGCATAAGAGTAAGAACAAAGGGAAGATGCATGCTTGTGGGCACGATGTTCATGTGACGATGCTGCTAGGAGCAGCCAAGCTACTTCACCGCAGGCGGCATGATTTGAAGGGAACGGTTAAGCTTGTTTTTCAACCTGGGGAAGAGTCTCATGCCGGTGCTTATCATATGATTAAAGATGGAGCAGTCGATAATGTCCGGGCCATATTCGGCTTACACATCTCACCGAAATTGCCCACAGGAACTGTTGGGTCCAGACCTGGCCCTATACTTGCTGGCTCAGCCAGGTTTCAAGTCGAAATCAAAGGGAAATCAGGGCATGCTGCTCATCTTCGTACCACTAGAGATCCGGTACTCACTGCATCGTTCGCTATCCTTGCCCTGCAACAGCTAATTTCTCGAGAGATGAATCCTCTCGATCCCAATGTAACAAAATCTCTCTTGAAATTCATTTATTTTTAATTCACAATACTCAAAACCGATATCCGATGAGTATTCATTTTCACCTAACCACAGGTTGTCTCGATAGGGTTCGTTCAAGCCGGTCATGCCGCAAATGTCATCCCCGAAACAGTAACTTTCGGAGGCACATTTCGGAGCATGACCAATGAAGGCTTGTCTTACCTGCAACAGAGGATCAAACAGGTCAGTATTGTGTTTTTAACTACAAATTTGAACTTCTAGTGTTGATCTTTGTGAACTTACAGGTGATCGAGGCTCAAGTGACAGTACATCAATGTACCGGAACTGTAGACTTCTTCGAGGAAAAAATGAGACCTTATCCTGTAACCTTCAACGATGAATCGATGTATGAACATGCGAAAAAGGTCGGAGAATCTATGGTTGGAAAATCTAATGTGGTATTGGTTCCGATGGCAATGGCAGCAGAAGATTTCAGCTTCTATGCAAACAAGATGGCGGCCGCCTTCTTCATGATCGGAACGAAAAACGGAACACGAAAACCGACCCACGGACTGCACTCGCCATACTTGATCATTGACGAGGATGTTCTTCCCATCGGAGCAGCCTTCCATGCTGCAGTAGCCATATCTTATTTGGATAATCATAGTGTTTTTAAAGCTCAGTAAGTTACTATTCTTAGGACAATGATTCATAAAAGTATACACAAGGAACAAATTTATTATGTAATATATCTCAAACAAAAATTATAAAATAAAGAATTAATTGTATCGAAGCCCTCAAATTACAATTTTCATCCTAAATTATGAATTTTATCCTAAATCGGTTACTAAATTTTTGAACATTTTGATTCCAAATTATCAAAAAATGCTAATCAAATCCTTATTAATAAAATTGTTACAAACAATTAGGGAAAATTACGCGTTTAATATCTAAACTATCAGTTTTGGTTCATTTTAGTACTTAAACTGTAACCCCCACAGACCGATAAGGGTAGCCCGATCCGATCCGGGAAGTCACATTAGGGCCACCGGAGCGACCCACTGTAAAAATAGCGGAAAATTTAAATCTTTTTATCCGAACATGTAAACTTATAAAATCATTTGTCACTATTTAAAAATAAAACATATTTCCAGACTCGTATATAAATCAAAATACAATTACATGCTCCCTAATCACATGTACCATACTCTGCAACAACGCCGGAAGAACTCCCTTACTGAAGTCGATAGATGCTCTGGTACAATTCTTTTAACCTGAAAATATGAGTAATAGAGTGAGCTTCGAAAAGCTCAGTAATACAGAACTACCAGATGATGCTGATGAACGTGCAGATATAGATAAATATTTTCCTTATTGGTTCAGATATTTACAGATTTTTATGTTGAGCAGAGATCCTACTGATATTTCAGGTGGTAACGGACAATGAGCTTTCGTTTCAGAGAAATATTTCGGATGACTGAGTTCAGGAGATCAGAATAGGTTTTCTAGTGTGTTCCCAAAAAAAAAACCATGTAACTTTTCAGATCTTTTTAAAACATATATATATACCCCCATCCGTCACGAACAAAATGTGTAGGTTCCCCAGAACCATACAACCCCGTCACTAACAGTAAGGCCCTGAGCACACAGCCGAGGAACCGGTAAGTAAGGCCCTGAGCACACAGCCGAGGAACCTCCAAGTAATCTTCCTCCAACAATACCCCCCAATAAAACATGTTCCGTCCGTAACGGATATATCAAAAATCAAAACATATATCAAGTCAAGTATCATATCAGAATTCAGGTCATGTATCAGATCAGAATCCATGTCAATATCAGATCAGAATCCAGGTCAGGTATCATAACATAATTCAAATTTGAAATCAGATAAAATATTCATGTAATTAGGGAACACACCAGAGTTTACAGGAATTATTTAGAGGTACTGTATCAGGCAGAGAAACACAGTTCTTCAGTATGTCGATAGAATGTTGGAATTTAGAATCACTATTGGAAGAGTTCATTAACTGACAGAATCATCAGTTATTCAGAATGTGAATTATCAGGATCGTATCTTATTCGGACAGTTTTCAGAAGTTGTACGTAATCAGAAGGGTATTCACTCTTTAATACCACAAATTCTTGTCCATAGATCATCTTCAGAATCATCGCTGAATAGATATTCCAATGGTCTTTATTTCATTTCCAAGCTTCCACGATATCATGAAATACTGACGTGCTTGATTTGTAGTTCATGTTCCATAAGGACGATACATCATGTAAATTCATCCGAATTTCCAGGCTTATCCTAATCACTTACTTAATCCTCAGTCATCGAAGTTACTTAGTTCATTTAGCATTCAAGTCCATTCCAATTACCTCGATATTTTCCAGAGTAATACAAACGTTCCTGTATTTCAGATATATATTGTACTTCAGATCCATTCAATTTGGTCTTCTTGGTTGATTTGTCGAACAAACGCCCAAT